TAGGTGAACTTTTATTATAAAAAATTAAGATAACTCTGGGCAGCAAAAGCTACCTCAAATACTCTGTGGAGTATATATGGCAGTGAGGAGGACCCAGCATGCTGCTCCATTATGAGTTGGGAAAGAGCCTGTGCTTTTGCCACTTGGTTAACAGGTTGATTTCTTCTTGTTGTTTGTGAGCAGGGACTGAGGAAAATGGGTGGGGGAAGGTTGTCAGCAGGGTTAGTGTCCGCAACGGATGCTGCTATACATACCACCCAGATGCAAGTCGATGAGGTCACTGTAATAAGACTCTCCCCAATAGTCTACAACAAGGAATTGATGAAGAGAGAATTACTGGATCTGATAACCCTCGTGTCCCCCCATACCAAAGCAATCAATGTAAAAAAGGATAAGAAACAAAGAGAGAGAGAAAGGAGAAGAGAAACAGCTGGAAAGCACACATGCTGAGCTATTTCCTTTCTGGTGGTGGGAGGAGGTGTTCACTAAACCACAGGTGACAGAGTTAATAGCCAGTATCAATGTAATTCCTGTTTATACTTCCAATGATCTGTTAGGACAAAGGCCTTGGTTTTGTTGGGAATCCTGGCCCTGCTAGGACTCAACCTTATCTAACTAAGAAGATTTAAAAAATTCAAAGGCAGATCAGGGACAACTACTTCCTTAGTAACTGAATATTAGAGGCCCCAGGCTGAGGGGCTGAAGGCAAGATGTAAACATCCTAAAAAAGCTTGGCAAGGATACCAGTCCTTAGGTTTAAAGGCAGTCAGAGCTCTCTCAAGAATTCACACACGTGACCCCCAGTGGTGAGTATACCAAACTCCTTGCAGAACCACCTTTGCAAGATGGGTTGAGAGGAAGAAGATGCTCTCTCTTCTGAGGCTAGGCCCCCAACTTCAGCCAGCCTTCTCTCTAAAAGCAGGAAATGAGCTTTGGCTATTTGCCTGAAGGCTCTTGGATGTATGCTGGCTACTGGCATTCCTAGTTTTGTAGCTCCATGTGGCTGTCCAGTGAGGATGTTATGTTCTTCACATGCCTAAGATGCAGAGACTGGGCCATGCCGAGGGGCTGGGCTTGGGCAGGTGGTCCTCATCCTCCAAGAATCATAAACAAATGCAGAGTACAAAAGTCAGCTGCTATTTTTCTCTCTTTCCTCCACATCTCACAGAGTGCTGATCCTGGCAGACTTTTGTTTCCCAATAGGGTTCCCCTTTCAAGAATGGATACAGCAGAAAGTAGAATGCAAACCTGGAATGGTTTTCCAACTTATCTCAAGGCTGATCCAGTGGTTTAAGTTTGTTCCAGGAACAAAAAGGGCTTCCCAGGTGCAGAAATTAATGTCAGGCTTAGTAATGCCCTTGGCTGGAAGGCTCTGAAATTAACCCTGGCGGTCTGGATATTCATGAACCTTGGGCAAGTTGAGACCAATGGATGGCAGGTCCAAATCAGATCTCTTCTCTGGAAGGGCAGCTTGGCTAACTGGGCAGTCTGACCCCCTCAGCCAGGGAGACCAAGCAGCAGGTTGGCCAGGTGTGGTCCCCCAGGGAAGTGGCTGATGAGCATTGCTGGAAGACTCCAGACTGTCATGCTACACTAAGATTAGCTGAGAGCAACTGAACTAACAAGAGGAGAGGAATGCCGAAGCAGCAGAGGAAGAAGCAGCAGAGGAAGAAGCAGACAGATTTGCCTCAAAGATGGTCTCTGACAAGTAGGAACAGGGCCACTGGACATCTGACAAAAGGGGAGCCTTGGAAGTGATGTGCTTAAATAAGAAAAGGAAAATAATATATTTGAAAATATATTCTTATGGTAAGAGCTACTATATTCTTAGAATTTCCCAAATGCACCTTGGGGAAATCTCTCAATGGAGCTACTGAATCTTGTCTTTATAAACAGGACAAATAGGTATTTATTTGAACAGAGGTTCCTGGTAAAGCCTTGCTTAAAACAGCATGGACTAGAACAGTGGTTTTCAAACTGTTCTGTGGAACCCTAGGGTTCTTCAAGTGCTATTCCAGGGGTCTCCCAAACACGTGGTTCACAAATACTTTTACCTTATTTTAAAAAACGTAAATAAGACACACCACGTTCAAATGTTTGATATGACAACTTTTAACCCACCGAAGATCATCAACACATTAATTTGTGCTACAAGGTAAACTGCTTTTGTGAAGCCCAAAGGACCAAGTTTCTTCTGCCCATTTTGGGCAAGTATCTGCACTCCCTGTAAACGTGTTAGGGAAGAGGACATTTATTCATTCATTTACATTCTGGCAAGTAGAGTGCTCCTGTACAAGTGTACAGGGCAGTGTCCTCAGAGAACTCTCTCTCAGCCTTGAGCAGCTCCTGTCACAGAGAGGTCCTCTAGGTGGGTAACACACATGTCACAATATCATAGCATAGTTGGGTTTGTGTTCATTGTATGTTTGGGAGCTTTTATCTAGATCTACTCTTTATGAGAAATATGAACTGCTATTAGATTTATCAGTGGTTTACCTGTGAAAACAATTCCTAGTACTCTACTTAAGGGTCAAGCATCTGCATAATTTAAACTATGTATATTCTGAGATCTCCAGGTGAGCTGTTAAAAACTGTTACCATTTACAGCAGCTACCTTTGTGTGTCAGGATGTTCCCTACACAGGTGTGAGCTGGAAGTGGAGGCAGCCCTCTACTATAACCTGTATTTTCAAATTTGTGTTAATTAACATTTTAGAGTAATTCTTTTTGACTTGAACTTATAATTTGGTTTGTAAAAAGGGTCCTACTGCTAAAAACAAGTTTGAAAACACTGACTTAGATGAAGTCCTGGCTGTATATGTTTATGAAAAGATAATTATCTAAACAACCAGAAAGAAGAATTTTGGCAAAATCCTATGCCAGTCTTCAATGGTATATTTTTCTCTGACCCCTTGGTAGCCAGCAGCTTGAACCACGCAGCTTGTTGCAGAAATACTCAAGCACTGTCATAGACTCAAATTGTGCGGCAGCCGACAGGCACAAAAGTGCTTTATGGGAATCATCAACCCCGGGGCAGTCCACCTGAACCTCAGAACTTGTGAGGTTCTAAACTTGCAAGGGGACAGAATATCTTTCTTCCCTGGGGACTTATGCTAACTAGGTGCACAGGCCTAGTTAGACTAGTTGAGCTAGTCTATGTGTTGGGAGATCTACCCTTCACTTTCTACTTTGGTAGAAGTAATTAGTGGGGAAGGGTAGAAGGAATGACCGGTCCAGGCTCCCTCCTGATATCTTCAGCAAGAAGAGAAGGCAGGGAGGGGAGGGCTCTGTGAGTCCCTTACAGCAGGTACGGGGCATCACTGGTAGGTTTGGGCCAACTCCCTCTAGGGCCTCAGGCTTAACTGAGGAGGCCAAGTCAGAACATGCAGGACAGGGAGCAAAAGCCAGGATGGTGGCGACATCACAGCTTCATTTGGAAGCCAGGGACACTTAGGTGAACCCGAATCTCCACTCCTTGACACAGGGGCCAGTGCTTGCCTTGCAGTCACCCCAGGCTTCTGGCCCACTGGCTCCTCAGTGGTTCAAGAGTTTGTACTTCATTTGGTGACTCAGGCTTCAAGCAGTAAGTCTAGCATTAGGTAAGGCACAAAACCAAGAACATCACACCCACATCTTTCTGTACTATCCCCTCTCTTCACCTCAAGGTCATCACTGAGCCAATTGTTAAGCTGCAATTTCTAGGACTTGAAGGGCCTGGAAAAAACACCTTCTATGTCTGACCCGACTGCCCCCATGTGAACTTCATTACTAAAGAACCTCATGAATTCATCTGGATACCAGGCACATACTACAAGGTCACCCCATTGGTCAATTTTGCAGCAAGATCAGACGGCAGCAACTGGTCCCATTCCTGACTGCTTCTTACTGGCTCTTCTTTGGTTTACAGACAGCCTGCCTACTAGGAGATGTACCATGGCCCCTCTGACACACTAGAATAACGAAGTAATAAGGAGTTCCCACAAAATTAAGTCACCACCTTTCTTCATCCCTAGGCTTACAACTTGAATGCTGAACCTGGAGAGGCCTGTGCTCTCTACAAGAGACGGAGGTTTCAGCACCTAGAGACTTGTGGATTCTTGAGAAAGCAGGCATCAATCACTCCATGCCTGTTGTTGGAGCTACAGTTGGGGCTTGCCCAGTAGTTTTTCAGGTCTTGCAACAACAGGGATTCCTGGGCCCTTGGGACTCTGGATAACTCAGGTACTTCCTTGCTTCCTCTGTGCCCAACTGTGCTTAATCCTCCCCACAGGCTACTTGGGTGAACAGTGGGTATCTCTGCACTACACTCTGGAGAGCTTCCCCAGGAATGGCATTCACCAAGCACATGGCCCTCACATCTACTTCCCAGTGTCTATTCAGTGCTGGCTCACCATAGTCCTCTGAGCGTTTCCACCCTGCCTTGAGTGACCAGACTCTAGGAAATACAGAGCCTGGGTTCACACTGGGGAATATGTGTGCTCCACCCACAGGAGGTGGTGAGGGCTCTGTGGGGTGTGTGTCCTCACATGCTCTGAGCAGCTTGGGCAGGACAGGAAGCCTGGAGAGCCAAAGACAGGAGGTGGAGAGCAGGCCGAGTGCCCTGCCTGTGCAGTTCTGTGATGGTTCCTTGTGGTACAGGTCTCCCTTATTCTCAGTAATTTTCTTCTAGAGAAAATGATGGGGGGGGGGGCAGGGGAGAGAAGGAGAAGGAGGCCCAGTGCATGCCATCAACAGAAGAAATGGACTGAGATTCCATCCCACAGGTAAATGGCAAGCTCTAGACAGGGAGGAAGAACAGGTGTGGGCCTTGGGGCAGTTCCAAACAGAGGTGCTTTTCTTTCCTTTGTTTCATACGAAGCCCCAAATCTCAGTGATGAAGGGACCCAGAGAAGCCTGCTGGAAAAGAAGCTGAGGTGATACAAAACTAGCCCTGCCATGGGAGTTGGGAGGGTGGGGCTTCCCTTAGGAACAAACCTCCTCACAGGAGAACCCAGACAGTACCTGCTTCTCCACGGAGCGCCTTCTCCACGGCAACCCCTCTCTCTTCTAGCTGCCGCTGCTTCTCTTCCACCTGCTCTAGCTGCCGCTGGATGATCTGTGGGGAACAAAACAACAGGAGCACCCAGCTCTCTTATCTCCTAGCCTTCAGGAGGCCAACCAACCTGCACACACCCAGAGGGAGAAAAATAAGCTAAAAAATTTGGAAAGGCTCTAGTCAATGGGCATCATGCCCAGTGCATGAAGAACACGTGTGAGTCCCCAGGCCCATCATCAGTCAGCACCACGTGTGTGGGTGCACACCAAGGAATGACTAGCCCCTCTTGAGACAGTTCAAAGACAGGAAGTGGATTAAAGCCCTGCAGGAAGGTATTAAGTACTACAGCCTAGGACCTTCTTCTTTTTAAGTACTACAGCCTAGGACCTTTCTTCTTCCTCACTCAATGATATTTCTTCCATTGATCCTTAGAGAGAGTGGAAGGGGGGAAAGAGAAAAAGAGAAACATGGATGTAACAGAGATGCATCGATTGGTTGCCTCCCACACGCACCCCCACCAGGGCCAGGGGGTCGCTGGATGATCTGTGGGGATTGAACCTGCAACCCAGGTACATGCCCTTGATTGGGAATCAAACCCGTGACCCTTCGGTGTGCGGGTGGACTCTCTAGCCACTGGGCCACACTGGCCAGGGTCAGCCTAGGACATTTCTGATGATGACATTGCTAAAGGACTAGCAGGGGTTCTTGGACACTACTGCAGACATCTTCTTGCTACAAGATTAAAAAAAAAAGAAATCTAGAATGGAGCAACCAGCCAGAATCTGTTTAAAGCATGCAGTAAGAAGTTCCTGCGTGCTACGTGGGAGCTAACAATGGGCAACCAGAAGGATGTTAAACCCCCAAGGCAGCAGCAGCCAGTGACATATCAGTGCAGAGAATATGCATAGAGAATAAGGTGCAAGAAAAAGACTAAAAGACTGGTGGTTTCTGATGCTTAGTAAAACATGGAATTCAGAGGAATACTTCATTAGTATCTGGACTTGCTGTTGTTTTTCATTGCTGTGTAGCTTTAGATTAGTATACTAATCTTTAAGAATACTAATCTTTATAAACTATATAAATATGATTTCATTTAACCACATTGTATTTAGGTATCTTTTAATACTTTGTATAAAGAAATTATTTTTAGTACCCCCTACCCTCCAATCTAGAATGGTCTAGGACCTGTGAGGCCTGCAGACAGAGGCTGACGACTGGGAGGACAGCTCTGACCTCTAAATCCCAGGCCCATCAGAGGCTGACAGGTCACAGATGGCCTCAATAACTGTTCTTACAATTGAACTAGTTGACTTTACAATGATTATTTCAGAGTAAGGAATTTAGAAACTCAAAGCTTGGCTCTACCCTTTCTACCAACAACTCCACAAAAATGAGGCTTCTGTAGCTGTATCAAGCCAGGGGCTTGTGGTCTGAGCCTTTGGGGCTGTCCTCTCAGGTAACGGGATACCCCATCTACCTCTGTTCTGCCCTCCTCGCCCTCTCTCATTATGGATGAGGAAAAGTTGACCGGAAACAACAGTGCTGTGGTGTGACTTCCTCATGAGTTGTGGCGTCTCCTGGTTTTTTACCTGGGCTCGGTGCAGCCGCTTAAGTTCCTCTTGCTTGGCCTGTCTCCGAGCTGCCTTCTGCACACGTCGGGTCAGCTTGGCATTCAGTTCCTCCTCCGTGTAAGTTCTTGGCTGGAGAGAATGAGAGATTTCCTCAATCAGGTGCACAGAGGCCTGGGAGCTTTGGGCACTGGCTGGCAGGGGCATAGAGAGCACTGATCTAGGTCACAGAGTGCCCACAGGGCAAACAGGCAGGCCAGAGGCATTGGGACACTTCCAGGCTGCAGCCCTAAATGCCACAGAATACACCTCAAGCTTCACAAGTGAGATGCTTTCCCGCTGTGACAGGGACAGAAGGCTCAGTGGAGGACTGACGGAGTTAAAGTAACAAAGGGACACATGCTCCTTTATCATTGGTATCATCTGTTTCTTATATAAAGATGTCTGCTCTTTTAAAGACTTTTTTAGGGTAAAAATATTGGTTTTCCATGCCTCCTGTTTCTAGGAGATATACAGGGAAAGAAAAATCAGGGTTCTTTAATTTTTTGTTTGTTATCAAAAGCAACTTTCTTCAGATGAACAATATTTATAAGTTCTTTTAAGAAGTAACATTTGAAGTTGAGATTTTAAGTCTGAGTGAATCCCAAACTAACTAATAGTCTGAAGAAGGAACTATGGGGGCAAACTTGGCCTGACTCGGGGGTCTGCACAGCAACTACTGAAAGGAAGGCAGGAAGCAGGACTGTTTCAGACAATGCTGTCAAGGACTGAGGAGGGAACCAGCCAAATCCAGTGCAATTCCAGGAATGGAAGGAACTGCCTGAGCCAACTCCATCTGCAAATGTGGGTGGTAAGGGCGCAAGGGAGTGTCAGATGTCTTGAGTAAAACACTGGGCAACCACTGAGAGGCAAATGCTGGGGAGTTTGCCTCTATTCATAACACCTTCTTTACTGCCTCCAAGAAAATAAAAAAGGACACTTTACAGACTTTAAAGGAGACTTCCAAATTCAGCTCAGGTGTATATTCTAATAATCTTTACTCTAAGAGCATAAGGATAGTGGAGAGCCAACTGAGCAGGTAGTCCCTAAGGGTGTCAGTGGTCTTCTGGTGCCCTAAGCATGTCACCTTGCAGATTAGGGACCAAAGGCTCGTGAATTCCCCATTCCTGCAGCACCCAGTCCCACCAGGGCAGCCCTGTCCCCCCAGGAACTCAGACTGACACTACCACATGCACTCTAGCCAGTGAAGAGCAGGATATGTCACCCTCCTCTGTCATGACACAGCTAAAGAAAGTTCTGCTGCTAGTGTCTGTGATGGCTCCATGCATGTGTGAACAGTTAGTGAGGGTATGGCTGCAGGGCCAAGACTGGGGACCACCCCATGGTTAATCATGGACACCCATGCAACAGTGACCAGCAAACAGGAACAAGACACTACCTTTGGTGCATATGATCTCCTGAATGCCAAGGTGTGTGGTACATAAATTGACTTTTAAGGGGATGGCAACAGAAAACAAAACAGAATGGTAACAATAATAATTAAATAGAACACAGAGATGGAACAAAATCAGAAGTTTAAAATAAACACACAGACTAAAACACATGATTATTTTTCACAATGTCACACAGGGCTGGTAGGTGAGGAACCTAGATGTAAGGCCCTCACAGCTGCACCTCAGTGATTCCCGCTCTTACTAAGGCCTGAGCTTACTTTCTTTATTAAATATGTTTTTATTGAGTTTAGAGAGAGAAACATTGATCTGTTGCCTCCCACATGCACCTCAGCCGAGGATCAAACCCGCAACCCTGGCATGTGCCCTGACCAGGAATCGAACCAACGACTTTTCCGTGTACAGGACGATGCTCAACCAACTGAACCACACTGGCCAGGGCTGGGCTCACTTTACTCCTGAGAAGACAGCTTCTTCCTCATGCCCCCAAACTTTCTTTTTTCTTCTCAATCTCCCTCATGTATAAATTAAAACTGTTTAAATATATGGTTATAGATGCTATTTCTCCTTTAATAGCCCATTTGCTTGTTGAGATTCAAACTGCTCCCTCCCACTGAATGCTATAGGTGCTGGGATGGGGGACAGGTGGTGGGGAGTTCCTGTTGCCAGGGACTCAGACACAGACACAGAGCAAGCTGAGTGTCAACCTAATGTTCTCTTCCAAAAGGCTCTCTACTGGCAGGGCTCCTGAACAGGGTCAGGGGTTCCCAGTGGGTCACCAGCAACCCTGGGATGGGGGGGCGTGGGCCATTTCTTTTTTTTTTTTAGAATTATAAGATTTTTTTTTTTTAAGAATTATAAGACCTTTTTTTTTCATTTCTTGATTATACACAGTGAAGGGGACCTGAAATAGCATAAATGATATTTATAAAAAATATTTCAGGCAGTAATTGTAACCTCTTACTCCATAAGCCTTGTGCAGAATGGCTCAGAGCCGAGGTTGAGGTTAGTTACATTTGCTCTCTGGTTTTCTCACCATCTCCATTCCATGGTTAAGAGGCAGGCAGGGAGTGAGGGAGGGAGGGGCTGGAGGTCTAGAGGTTCAGAGAGCCTCAGGATGCACCACATCTCCTGTGGCCCTTGCTGTTCTCCTGAAGCAGTGGGGACCCCACCAGTGTGGAGCCTGCATTTCAAGAGCATATTGGCCCCGAGAAGAGTGAGCTAGTGTCCTAGTGGTGACATTTAAATTTAAGCATGCTGATTCTATCTCTCACTGATTCCTCTCTCTCACCAACCATCATGAGAGAAAGAATTTCATTATTAGAAAAAGTCAGTTAAACAAAAAGAAGACAGATGGTTTCCCCAAGCAGCATGTTTTGAAAAACTCCATAGGAGTCACGTAACTACAACCTAAGGAACAGGACTCAACATTTGTACCTTGGCTGATGTGGGGCAGTCACATACTAATTTCTGGCAGGGAGGGAGTACTAACTTGGTAGAGGCAGTGACCAGAGGCATAAAACCACGGCATATTTGTAGTGTGCCAAGAGAGTGGGTCAGCCACAGAGCAATGCTTCTGCAGCAAACTGGGACTGGGGCCTGTGAGAAAGCAAATGCACATGCTTTTGGCATGGCCAAAGTAGAGGCTGCTTTAGTCATATTTAAAGTCAGACTTAAGCAAAGAAAAGAGGTGAACATGAGTTATCTCTTGTTGGTAAGGCTCTAAGGTGATTTTAAAAAAAATGTGTATTATTTTAATTTTTCTATATTAACATTTTAAACAAAAATAAGTTATTTTTAGTGTTTGTTTTTTAAAAATGAAACAAAATTCAGGCACTTGTTTCATAGCTACCTTACTCAAGGATGGGTCTGTGATATAAGAGGAACCACTTCCCCACCTGTGCTCTCAGGGGCACTGTCAGCAAGAGGCTCCCTCATGAGTCAATCAAACCCAATTCTCATGTTAGGTACCCCCATGCCCCCCTCATTTCTTACTCTGAAAATTTTCAAACCTACAGAAAAGTTGAAAGAAGATGACAATGAACACCTTCACCTAGACTTGCTAAGTGATTTTGAATGCTGTTGATATCATCTTTACGTATCATCTTTTTTGCTGAATCATTTGTAGACATTATGATCCTTTACCCCTAAAAATTTCAGCATGTACTTCCTAAGAACAGGGACATTTTCCTACATGATTACATTGCTTTAATAGCTTTCAAGGAATTTAGCACTGATGTACCAATATTATGTTTCTGTGCATATTGTCCATGATCAAATTTCTTGGAATTTCCAAACTGTCCTTCATGGCTCTTTTTGTTTAGGTTTGTTTTCTTGCTTCAGCTTCTACTTTTTTTTCCCCCAATTAAATTTTACATTTAATATTATTTTGTATTGGTTTCAGGTGTACAGCACAGTGGTTATCAGACAACTGTATAATTTATAAAGTGTTCCCTTGATATTTCCTGTACCCACCTGGCACTACACATAGTTATTAAAATATTATTGACTATGTTTCCTATGCTGTACTTCACATCCCCATGACTATTCTGTAACTACCAATCTGTACTTCTCAATCCCTTCACCTTTAGCTTCTATTCTTAAAAATACACAGTCCCTTGCTCCCGCTCAGCCTGACCCCATACAACAGTGGGATGATGACTTTAGTATTCCCTACACAGCCTCCAGCAAATGGCCCCACCTATGTGGGAGCATGAGGTGCTGGAATTCTAGGAGTGGGGTCCATGACCTGTCATTTACGTAAATGGGGAGGAACTCCTTGTGTGCCCCAGGCCTGCGAGACCCAGGGAGAGGCTGTGGTCAGTGGGATGTGTTACTCAGATGATGGCCTTGGCATAGCCAGCTTGGGCAGTCTGCCACTCAGCATTTTGCCAGGAGGTTTCATTAATTAATAGAGAAACAGTGGAAAGACCTGAGCACAAAAGCAACCACAGATAGAAGCTTTTGGCCAATTAACTGGCTGAATGTCTGCATGAGGCAAAGTGAATGTTGAAACACATTCTCCTTTTTGACAGGCCCCCTTCAGGACCCCTAAGGCAGTGCCAGTCCCCACTGTGTCAGGATGTGTTTAGGAACCTACTCACATACCCAGAAGAAGTTCTCAGCTTAGTACTAAAGCTACTGTGTGGGAACCACAGCAGGGAGCACCTGATGCCAGGTCCCTGCGGGGAATTGGACACAGAACCCCCAACTATAACTTAGTGTGGCCTGGCTGGGACATGGGGAAGCTCTGCAGATGGCTGGGGTGGGATGAGAGGCCTGACTATCTAGGTGTCCTTCTAGGAGAATGAATAGATACCTAGCTGGCATAGCCAAGGCAGATAAATAAATCAAGAATGAGATGAGAACTGAAAGACTGGTTTCCTTGGTTTGCAGTTATTAAATGAGGAACTGGATCAGGCCAGGAGCAGGGGACTGGACACAGACTGTCCATGGCTCCCTGGAAGTCAATGGAGAGGGAAAACTCAAATCCAAGCCTTGGGAAGTCATGTAAAAAAGGTACAGAATGTTCCGAGGAAGTTTTTCATTCAAAAAAGGGAGCTGAAGGGAGCTGGACCTTTACCTTGGACAGGTGGGTGAGTGTGTGCCTAGGGTTAAATAATGGAGATAGAGTAGGAAGGCTCCCCATCCCAGCCTTGGCTGGGCCCTAGGCACAAACAACCCTTCTCCTGTCACTCTGGGAACTGGTGGGTGCTACTCCACACGGAATTTCTGAGGACAAAAGAATGAATGGACAATGCTGGGCTGCTTCTTAAAGATAGAATGAATCTTTGAGCATGGAATGTCTGTCTTTACCATAACTGAACACAGGAACTCTTACCAAGGATGCAAATAACCCTCAGCTGCTCAGTGAAAAAACCTGAGATAAGTCCCTCCTGTGTCTCCTCCTTGGACCCCCGGGGTGAGGCTCAGGATTTGGTTGTGTCTGCTAGGAGCTTGTATCCTACCTCTGCTTTGAGATTTGCTTTCTTTTCCTCCATCTCATCAAAGACTAACATTCAACAAAGGACAGGAGTCCAGGTTCCCAACCCCTCTGAAGCCCCACTGCTGACCGGGCCTGCATACCTCTCGCCTGGACTTCTGGGAGGCCTTCTCAAGGATGTCGTCGCTGGAGAGGTCAGAGTCCTCAGAGAAACTCAGCTGGCGCCGGAGCTGCAGCTCTGTGGGGATGGAAAGAAGGGACAGAGTGAGGACTGTGACCAGGCAGTAAGTACCATGGTGCTTTCCTGATTTCTACATTCACACGAGTAGCCCGGGGGAGTGGGGTGAAAGTTTGGTTTCTTTCTAGTTTAAGGGGCTCTTTTGGGGAAAGTGACTCCCATATTGGGGAGCCAGGAGCTTGGGTGCTGACATTTGTTCAGGCAGGGGCGGACCAATACTGAATAGATGGTGCCCAAAGACAGCCTGCTTGGCGCTCCTGGCAGCACTGCCCTCCTTTGGGGCTTGTGACCTTAGGAAGTGCATGAACCTCCCATCTCCCCTACCCAGCATCAGGCTGGTTTTTAGAATTATTCTATTAAGTGGAATATGTTCTGTGAGCCCATGGTTCAGTTTTCTTCTCCCTACCCTGTCAGCATGCCTCTAAGAACCCTTGGGGGAGCAGCATGGGGAAGGAGGCCTTTCGAGAAGAACCAAATGACTAAAGAATGTACACCTTATGCTCTGCCCCAGAAGGGGTCCCTTGGTGCTGACGTACCTGCTCTCACTATTGGAGATATCCTGTGCTTGCCAGAGTCCATGGTGGCACCACTGGAAGGGGTGCTGGAACAGGACTTATTGTCACTCTTCTTCTTCTTGTCCTTCTTATACCCAGAGAAGACTGACTTCCACAAGGACCTGGGCTTGGCAGCGGCTTCCTCCAGAAGGTCTGGGCTGTGCTTCTCCAGGGGCTGACCCTCACCTTTGGATTTTCTCTCCTTCTTGTTTCTGCGGGGGGAGAAGAGTGACGATCTCTTCTTGCTCTTCCCGCTGGAGCCCTCGGATGAGGTGACTGAACCATCTGGGGCCCCTGAGTCCGATATCGGGGAGAGGAATTCCTCACTAGTGGCTTTGTGCTTCAAAGTGGGCTCCTTGGGGCCTTTGTGGACTGGGTATTTAGGGGGCTCAAGGCCGAGGTCTTTGCATTTGGAGGGCATTGAGGAGGCTTTGCAACAAGTGCCTCCTGAGGGCCTGGATGTCCCAGCCCCCATTTCCATCTCCTTCATCCGACTCAGCTGCTTGGCCATGGCGTCTCTCAATGCCTGGCTCTTCACAGACTTCTCTCTGGCTCGCATGCGCTCCTCAGCCAGCTCTTTGGCTTCTGGAGAGACTATAGGTAGCCCCCTCTTCTGAAGTTGGACCCCGCTCTCCACAGTAAGCAATCTGCCATTCTCCTTGGCTAGGGATGGATAGAGGGGCTTTTCAGAGAGGGGCCAGCAGGAAGGGGGTGTGAAGAACTTCTCCTGCAGACTTGAGTCCTCAGTCTTGTCATCGTAAGTATCCTCCACATCGTCAGCAAAGGGTATCTCATCCACACTCTCTACAAATGACTTCCGCACCTCCTCCCAGGATGGCTGGGCAGGCTCTCGGGGGGGCCGCATAAAGGTGGCAGGTGGGGGGGGTGGGGTCACTGAGGCCTTGGGCTCGGTTTCCTTATGCCCATATATCTGATATGGCTTCCTTCGAAGAGTTGCAGGCTCCTCATCCTGGGGTGGGGGTGGGGGCGGGCTTGAGG